CCAAGCCCCACTCCCACTGGTGACTCAATCCCGCCGAGTGGCTTTCTCCATCTTCCTAGTGATTCTGTAAATACTCATCATGTTCCAATCAGACCCAATCAGGGAAGCAGCCAGATCTGGCCCAGGTGTTTGGCATAAGTAATATCTGATGGGAATTGGACCTTATCCCGTGGTGGGAGGAGCTGGGGAAGTGAAGGTCTGAAAGGGGGCATAAGGAGTCAACAGCCAGGCGATCTGAAAAGCCGTGGGGCACGTCCAGCCACCCGAGTGAGTAGATAAATCAACGGGGAGCCATCACTTCTGCAGCCAAGCATCCAGGGGTGGGCCAGGCACTGGAGTCCAGGAGTCAAGAAGACCTGGACGCAGCGCTGAGGACAGCAAGGGCCAGGGAGCCTGCTGCCATGTCTGCAGCTGTCTGTCGCCAGGTTTCGCCACAGCGACCTTGCAAGGAAAGAGGCTGCTGCTGAAACTGGACAACCAAGGGGTCCGGGCTGCCTGGCACTATTTGAGCCAATTCAGCAGGGACAGGTTGAATCATATATGAGCATTTATTCCAATAATGCCGGCAGCATGGGGGAGCAGCAGGTCACCCACGAAAATCTGCTCTGCACCCCTCCCCCCATAAGCCAGCTGCTTATATGGGGTACAAGGACGCAGATTACGTGGGGAAGTGGGCAAAAGGAATAAGAATGGGTATAATGGTTACAAGCAATGTGGGCTGGGGGTTTGCAAAGGGCAGGGGACGTCCGAGACTCCATTGTTTCCTTTCCTCAACAAGGTTGTTATATAACAGGCACCTCCCGACGGAGAGGATGGGCAGCATCTGCAGGTGAGCTCCCAGGTCCCCTGTATAACTCCCAGCCAGGTTAGAATGTGCTGTCTTTAATCGGAACAAAACAATCACAGTTAACAGCGCACGATTAATAGTTCTCCTAAGTATTTCTTATAACTAATAGCTAGTCCCCGGTATTCTATTTCTGCCCCTAACACTGCTTCCCTATCCAGCTTCAAAAATCTCACACAAGTTGCTCTTTTGGTCAATTCTAACTCAGAACCATTCGAGGAAAGGGATTCTGGGAAATGTAGTTCCCAGCCTAGCCAAATTGACACAGTACAGATTACACACCTGTGGGTTTACCAAACCCTTCTGCTCTAACTGGCTGGGTGAATTCTGCTCTCTATGACTGGCCTGACTGACAGAAACTTTGGACAATTCTGCAGTGGGTGCTATCAATGTTTTTGTTAACCCGGGGCCTTTTGTGTGGACAATTTCCCACCTCAGGAGTCTGCTCCAGAAGCAGGCAGAATCTCACATCTCCAGCCTCCCTTGCAGGTGGACTGTAAGTACGTGAACTACGCTCAACCAATCAGATGATCCGATGGCTGATCAGATGGCTGAACCTGGATACCATTTTGGTCTATCAGATAGACCAAGTGGTCGGCAAACTGTGGCTCACGAGCCACATGCGGCTCTTTGGCCCCTTGAGTGTGGCTCTTCCACAGAATACTGACTTCTGCGCATGGGCCACGAAGTTTCAGTCGCACTGTACGTGCGCACCCGCACGTGGTATTTTGTGGTATTTTGTGGAAGAGCCACACTCAAGGGGCCAAAGAGCCGCATGTGGCTCGTGAGCCACAGTTTGCCGACCACTTGGTCTATCTGATAGACCAAGATGGTATCCAGGTTCAGCCAATTAAATATCTCAGGTACTTAGACTCAATTATCAGATACACCCACGTGGAACCTAGGTTTAACCAATGCAGACACACCCATCTCACCTCCCACCTCAGCCGCCCTCTCTCCCTCTCTGAGCTCCTCAGCCCCACCCCACCCCAGAGCCCTCCATTCTGGCCTCACTGCCTGCCTTCTTTCCCGAACGAGGCCAGGTTCCCGCCTCAGGCCTTTTAGGTTGCTCTTCCTTCTACCTGGGATGTTCCTCCAACCAGGTTAGTAGCTCTCAGTTCTGGCTGCCCATTAGGGGCACCTGAGCAGCTTTGCAAAAAGTACAGATGCCCGAGCCCCAGAGAGACCGTTGTCGTTACCAGGGAAGTGGCACCTGGGCATTTCTGGTTTGTTTTATATCTCCCAGGTGCTTCCAATGCTCAGCCAGAGCTTAGAATCGCTGCCCCAGACACCCCGGCTCTGTCCCCCGGCTCTGTGAGTGTTTGTTCACAGGCAGCTTCTCAGAGAGGCCGTAGGCAATCACACCATCGGACTCCCCCTCACCCTGCTCATTGACCGTCAGTGAACACCACGTGGGTGAGGGCAGAGGCTGCACCGGTTTTGTTCAGCACTTGTTTCCAGAAACTAAACATTTTTGAAGTTAAAAAATGACAAGAATACCCCATCTCCAGAAAGAGCAGTTCAGTAGTTCAGTTAGATTTCATGAGCTCTGTAGCCTTGAGCTAGTCACTTCCTGGGCCTGTTTCTACAAGGGCCAGTGGGAGGTCACATGAGAATAGCGAACAGCACTTTTTCGGTTGACTCATGACCAAGGACAAAGGGAAAATCACAGCCCACTGTGGGAAGGCCTCGGACCACTCCCTCACAAACAGCGGCCTCCCTGCCTCTCTCACCCATCTAAGCCACACCGGCCTCCCTGCTGTTCATACAGAGCGCCCTGAATGAACGACTTCAGCCCACCTTTCTCCCCGCTCCAGCTCTCTGCGGCTGCAGTTCTGCATAGTGGCCACCAGGTGGCGAGAGGACTAAATTGCATTCAAGATCACCCCTAGACCATCCTGGCCAGTCCTGGCCCCTGCCTGGCCGTTGCTAAGAGAAAAGAGCAGGGACCATGGCAGAGCCCATGGTGCCCTCCCTCCTCTCCTCATGCATGGAGTCAGAGACATTGGACATCGGAAACGCTGGACCCAGACTAAAGTCAGAGGAAGAAGGGCCCACAGTCCTGTCTGGATCGGCCAAGTCCTTCCCCTCTTCTCTGACCACTCCTGACCCTCCCGCACAGCCACCTGGGATGAGTCCCAGGGGCCCCTCTGTTTCCCTGCCCATCTGCATACCCTCAACTGAGGGTTCGACCATCTGCATACCCTCAACTGAAGGCTGTGACAGGCATTGTCCTCTCCCACAGTGCAGGGCCGCGCTGGTCCGGGACCAACATGGAGCAGCAGCCAGGCCTCGGGTTACATAAAAAAGGGGACAGGACAGAAGAGTGTGTATCAAACGCTGCCACTTGTGCACAGGAAGGGGGAGGAAACGCCCTCTGTGTTGGTTTGCAAATGCGGACTCGGGGACGCGCAGGCCGGAGACCAGGGTGGCTGGGCGGGACTAACCCCGGGCCCTCTTCTCACATTTGAGGCCTATTGCTGTATTACCTAGTGAAGTCAATAGGAAAAGTGAAATGCAACAATTTATTTGAAAATAACCATTTCTCTACTTTCTTGTACAGGAAGCTGCGGCCGGGGTGGGGAGGCCTGGAGTCGGGTGAGATTAGGGGACACAGCAGTGAAGGAGACAGTAAACTTTGACCAGGGATGAGGCTGAGACTGCCCGGCTGGTGTGGCTCAGTGGATTGAGTGTCGTCCTATGTGTACCACGAGGTCGCTGGTTTGATTCCGTCAGGGCACATGCCGAGGCTGCAGGCTCGATCCCCAGTAAGGGGTGTGCAGGAGGCAGCAGATGGATATTTCTCATGATGTTTCTCTCTCTCTCCCTTCCTCTCTAAAAATCAGTAAAAACTTACTTTTAAAAAGAGTCCGAGACAGAGGATAACAGGGCTATGGGTGGGGAGTGGCTACAGAGGTGGCATCTGAGAGATGACCTGGAGAACAACACGGAAGGGCGTGCCAGGCAAGGGCCCAGAGACAAGAAAGGGCCTGGCTTGTTGGAGCCAAAAGATGACAGTGGGGTGACTATGCCTTCCCCTCTCACAGCCTCGGCCTCTCCCCCTAAAATGGGGCTGTGCCACCTACTCTGCGGTCTTCAGGATAAAATGAGAGGATACCGGGAAGGTGCACATCCATGCCCAATAAAAAAGGAAACTAAACATTTTTGAAGTTAAAAAATGACAAGAATACCCCATCTACAGAAAGAGCAGTTCAATAGTTGTTAGATTTCAAGAGCTCTGTAGCCTTGAGCTGGTCACTTACTGAGCCTGTTTCTACAAGGGCCAGTGGGAGGTCACATGAGAATAGCGAACAGCACTTTTTCGGTTGACTCATGACCAAGGACAAAGGGAAAATCACAGCCCACTGTGGGAAGGCCTCGGACCACTCCCTCACAAACAGCGGCCTCCCTGCCTCTCTCACTCATCTAAGCCACACCGGCCTCCTTGCTATAAGCACATCAAGTTCACACCTGCCCCAGGCCCTTTGCACTTGCTGGCTCACTCTGTCTTGGATGCTCACCCACTTACTCATCCCACAGCCAGCTCTTCATTCAGGACTCAGGTCAAATGTCCCCTCCCAAGAGAGGCTCCTTATGTTAAGAGCTAGTGAATCTACCTTCAGAACCCCTTGGTCCTACTCTAAACCAGCAGTCGCCAACCGGTGGTCCGCGGGTCACTGGTGGTCCGTGAGGTCCAAAAGGTTGGCGACTGCTGCTCCAAAATATCCCATCTTGTACTAACTTATCAGGTGATCACCTCATAAGAGTCTAATCACTATGCTTTACACCTGAAACTAACATAATAGTGATATCAACTGCAATTGAAGAAGAAATATTGTTTTTTTAAATACATTTTTATTGATTTCAGAGAGGAAGAGGGAGAGATAGAAACATTATTGAGAAGAATCATTAAACGGCTGCCTCCTGCACGCCCCCTACTGGGGATCATGCCTGCAACCTGGGCATGTGCCCTTGACCAGAATCCAACCCTTCAGTCCACAGGCCGATGGTCTATCCACTGATCCAGACCAGCTAGGGCCAGAAATTATTTTTAAATTCCTGTTCGCTTCCTGTCACAGCAAATGGCCTGCAGGCCAAACGCAGCCCATTCTGATTCTGTACAGCCTGTGAGCTGTGACTAATGTTTATATTTTTAAATGGATGAAATATATACATACATATATCACACATGAAATTTCAGTGACCAGGGTGGGCCGGGCAATGTGAAGTCTCGTGCTTCCCACTCAGCTCTGAGTGAGGCCTCCATCCTGGCCAGGGAGGAACTCCCTCCCTCCCACTGTTTTTCCGAGACTGACCCAGGATTTCCCTTGCTTCTCATCTGGGTCAAAAGCACTCAAGGCACTGGACCAGGGGCCCTTATTGCTGATGTGCCCACCGCCGTGGAGATGTGCGCGGCCACTCACGGCCTGGCCTCTGTGTTCGGCCGTGAAAACCTGACTGGGCCGTGCAGACCCAATGGAAAACTGCAGATTTGAGGACGACCAAGCCATTTTTCCAAAACAGTTTAATTTTAAAAAGGTGAAGAGTCTGAAGAAACTGGGGGAGAAGGGGAGGAACCCAAAAGAGCCTACCGTGTTGTGAGTCTCCTGGCTCAGTCGCAAAGAAACACCATCGTCAAAAAAGATATTTAAGTTTAATACAAATTTTATACAAAGAAAATGTGAAAAAATACTTCCATATGTTAAAAGCAATTATGCTTCACAAATAAGGCCAGCTAGGCTATTTTTTGTTTTTTTTTGATGACTGCAATTCACAAATGTTCTTTCTCTCCTGTTTTCTTCTAATACTCCCTTCTTACTTCTTCTCTAATACGGGTAACTAGCTGGAAACTGTACAGTCCGCATCCTCTTATCAACAACGAAGAGAAAGTAAACGAGACTAAAATGTACAACGAGATGGGCTGGAATGATATCGTACAATTAATTTCCTCATATACAGACATCCCCCTCCGCTTGCTCAACGCCTTTTGTTTTACACAACAGACAAAATGGAGCCACAGCGTTCGTAGTGTAACAGACAGCATGGCGGGCGTGCCCTCTCACACTGCCTTGGTTTCATGCTTACATAAAAACGTAAAATCCCCTCGTATAAATACTACAGACATGCTTCATCCCAGGCTCGACTGTCCTCCGCGTGCGCCCGGCCTCCGTCCTCCCTGCCGCAAAGCACAGGATCTCTCTCCCCCAGCGTGTGAGTGTGTCGGAAGGAGCCACAACGCACAGGAGAGGTTTCTCTCGGTTCCGAGGACGCGAAACGCCCGGTGTTCTTCTCTCCTGCGCTGGGCTGAGTGGGGCTGGTTTCTGCTTCTCGTCTGTAAACAAGGACACTGGGTTTTCCCTTTTAGGAGGAGAGTCACCGCGTCGGTCACGCCACAGAAACGAGCTCCTGCCCGTGTCCTTCTGCGTCCTCCGGGCCCAGAGAGCTTGCATCTGATGAAGCAGCAGCGCGGTGTCGGGAAGGGGCGATGGCTTGATGGGATGTGCCCACGGCAGCACAGAATCTGCCAGAACTCACCATCCCGGTGCCGCCTCCAGACGGACGGGCCCCGGACCACCCCTTCCAACACCAGAACATCCTTTGTGTTGTTGGGTGTGTTTTTCTAATCGCTTTTCTTTTTTCTTTTTCTTTTTTTTTTTTTTTTTTTTATAAGTTAAAGTCAATACAAATATAAAAAGGGGAAGGTACTCTAAGTTCAGTGACATCCACAAATTGTACATTATTTACACCTAAAGCGTGAGTTCATGTGGGTGGACGGTCCTCGGAGCTCGTGGGGGACGCGTGTAGTGTGGGACCCTCGGTGGGAAGAAAGGCCGGGTCTGTGTGGAGCCCTCGGGTCCGGAGGGGGTGGTCTCCCCCTCACGTCTCCGCGCCGTTCCCTGGCGGCCCGGGGTCGGCCTTCTTCCTCCGGGGGGCGGGCGGCTGGTGGCGCGGCTTGTCCCTAGTCCCACAAGGCGTCCAGCCGAGACTCTTTCGGGAGGAGACTCTTCGAGCTGGCGCTGGCGTTGTGCTCGGAACGCGACGATCCTCGCTTCTCATCGCTGCCGCTCCAGCCGCCGGACTTGCTGCCCCGGGAATGGTCTGGGAGGAAAAGCAACAGAGAGAAAGGCTCAGCGCTCCCGCCGCCTCCACCGGAGCAGAGCTCCCCGCCCCGACCGGCACTCCTCGCCGCCCGCACAGCGCCGAGGGGTCAACACTGCCACCCCGGCCTCCTGGAGGGTGGTCTGCAGAGGACCAAGGCAGAACGGCTTCCTTTCTTAGGACTTAACAGAGCGGGTTGGAAAGACAGTAGGGTGTCATGCTCACGGAGAATAAAGATCGGAGAGGAAATGGCCAAGGAAGGCCTTTCTGGTGCGGTGCCCACACTGGGCAGCCCCAGGACGTGACACCAAGCACCCCGTGCGCCGGTAGCCACCCTCAGGCACAGGAAAAGGCACCCAAGTGTGACGTGTGACCCACCGACTGACATCAACCTTAAGCTTCTTTGATCAATTTACAGGAAACTCGAAAAACAGGCTCATACCAAACCACCCAGAGGAGCAGGTCAGAGAGGAGGAGGAGGAATGTGGACCAGAGCGGCCAAGGCCAGCTGGGAGCACAGACCACCGGCCCCAGGAAGGACAAGCCGGAGGGTCACCAGAGAGTGCGGAACCGAGTCGGACCCGAGACAGCTTCAGACACAGGCGAGTCAGAAACGAGGAGCCGGAGAGCCAGGTGATACCTGTAACGCCGTCCAACGGGCCAGGCGCGCGGGCTCCCTGGACAGACGCCTACGGGAGCCCTGGCAGCAAGCCACCGGGTCCTGCACATCCGAGGTCATTTACCAGCTCAGACAGACGGGGCAGAACTTTTACGATTTCTCCAGGGGGTGGGGGTGGGGGTGGAGGGGTAATAGCTGACTGAAGAAGTCAACTTCAAGTTTAGAGACAGAAATCGAAACGAGGGAGGAAGAGGCCATGTCACCGTCTGGGGGGTGACGCGTCTTATCGCCTGGCTAGTCGTGAGCCCTTTCTGGAGGGTCTGGAGGGCCGGATCTCCAAGGTGAGCGCCTCACACAGAGGAGCTCTTAGTCACTGCATCACTGACCCGCAGGGCAGGACTCTGCGGAGCGGGGGTCAGGGGGCGGCCTTTTTTTTTTTTAAGTATTTTCAATTAGTTTACATTCAGTATAATTTTGTATTCGTTTAGGGTGCACAGCATAGGGATTAGACAATCGTAAACTTTACAAAGTGCTCCCCCTGACACCATACATAGTTATTAACAACATTACTGACTGTATTTCCTATGCTGTACGGTATGTCCTTGGACTATTTTGTAACGACCGATCTGTACTTCTCAAGGGCCGGCTCTACCTTAACAGCCCTGACTTGACCTCTTCGTAGCCTTCTGCCCGATCTGCACTGCCTACATCAAGCATGTCAAACTCGCGGCCTGCGGGCCACACGCCTCTTTACTTGGCCCGTGTTAGCCGCGAGTTTGACCTGCTTGGCCCACACCATCAGTTCTTCTGGAAGGACTTTGGGGAGTGCTGTGGTTGGTCATCTCCAAATGTGAGAAAATCCTGCAACAACACAGTCACGCCACATCCAGTCCCCTGCTCGGGCGAAAGCAGAAGGGGCGGGCTGAGCTGGGACGGCACCTGTAGGGCCTACCCCCTCCCATGGACAGGACTCGGCGCTGGCTGGTACGGCCAATCACTGCAGGGGAGGACCGGTGTTCACCTGGGACCTTGTATGAAAAGAGCGAGGATGTCCCCTCGAGAAGCTAAACCGTACGCTCTGGCCGTTTCCATGGCCACCAGAGGCCCAGTTACGAAGAAGTACAAGCCAAAGCAAGACCCATCACTCAGAAGAACAGCAGAGGACACACCCCCGAAGAAGCACACACCCGGCCTTCGCACGCCAGGAGTGAGTCCGGGCGGCTCCGGGGGGCGGGGTCATACTTACACTTCTGGGCCGGGCAGGTGGGGTGCGGCTGGTGGTCTGTGGCGGTTGGGGCAGAGGCAGGTTGTTGCTAACTGAAGAGATAGCACAGGCATCCTCAGAGTCTATCCGCTTGAGTCCACACCCCCACGTGCTCAACCACTGCTGGCCCTCGTTAGGCCACTGCTCTTAGCACTGCTTCTCCACTTAGTGGTTCACAGGAGACTAAAGCTTTTTAAAAATGCATATGAGACCATAAGCAGGATCGCTGGACACAGCACGGCGTTACAGGTGGAAATAAGATATACACGACATCAAAGCAACTCTGGAAGCCACAGGTCCTCAACATTTGAAAGCAAAACCCTCAGAACCATGAACTCTGCCAACAGCCTAACTCAGCCAGGGAAACAGGCACCAGACCACAGCCAGGTGGGAGGCGGCACCAGGCAATGCCGACTGCTGAGGGCAGGTGGTAGCTAATCCAGGGCTCGGTGGACACAGAGCAGGGAGGAGGGAGGCGAGGAAGGTGCGCAGGGGGCGGCGGGCTGAGGGTGGGACTACAGACACGCTGTCAACTGAGCCACGTTCTCAGCTCCGATGACAGGACACCAACCAATCACATCGGAAACTGAAGCGTCAGAAGTGAGTGGCATGAAAGGGGTCTCCATAGAATAACCGAGAACAGTGAAGAGCTTGTTAGGAAATGATTGGAGACACGATCAAGGGCGAGACAGGAACTCCAGGAAAAAGCAGGCCGCACAGGAACGGAAGTGGAATCCCAGCACACGGATGCCGAGACCAAGGGGACGGCCCCAGTGACAGAAACACAGGTCCGTGCATTTCCATTCCCCAGACCGGGCCCAGCCTCCCGCCAGAAGAAACTGCAGTTACAGAACAGCTCCCCGTCCTCAACCTCGATGAAGGCGAGTCGGAGCGGAGAAGGTGGGAGTCTGGACAGGACGGGGTAGGAGAACTGAGGGAGGAGACGGGCCGCCAGGGGACCGAGCAGGACTGCCCGGAGCTGGCAGAACAGGAACCAGAGGGTGAGACTTGTTTCTGACCGGGGGACTCAAGAGACATAAAATAGTGACAAGTCACTTGGGATGAAATGGGAGCGATGTCATCTATGACCCTAACTCTCATCTCTTTTTTGTTTCTTTAAATTTGAATTCTTTACTGTTTAAAGTATTACATGAGGCTCCTTTTCCCCCCAATGGCCTCTCCCCGGCCGCTCCCACCCGCCAGCACATGCCCTCACCCCCCTACTGTCTGTGTCCATTGGTTATGTAACTCATATGCATGCATGCAAGTCCTTTGCTTGATCTCTTACCCCCTCACCCCCCGCCCCCGGCCTTCCCTCATAGGTTGGACAGTCTGTTCGATGCTTGTCTCTGGTTCTGTTTTTTGTTCATCAGTTTGTGTTGTTCATTATATTCCACGAATGCCTAACTCTCATCTTTTAAAGCTGGAAATCAAGGAGCAACTTCTAAAGATCAACTCCAGAAACGGATGTATAGGGAAGGGCATTATTTATAAATAAGGAGGTAAGTTCCACACGCATCACACACAGCAGAGAGACTGGGACTGGGCATCGATTCTCCCTGTACAGTTTTGTTTCCTCTAATTATATGTACATAATGCTTTATTCATACTTTTTAAATTAAGAGACAACAGGCCCATGCCCACCCCAAGGAAGCTCAGACGCCCTACTAAACCTTTCTCCCTTCCAACTAGACTCCTCCCTCCTCTTGCCTTTCTGGTACCAGATGCCTAGAAAGAGCTCAGAAACCCCGGTGTTCTATTGAGCCCACTGCCCTCCACGAGATTTCATCTGCATTGTCCCCGACAGCAAGGCTGGCAGAAGCTAAATCAGACGCACGAGGAAGTCGAAGGGGAACTGTCTGTCTTGCTCACCACTGAACTCCCAGCCCTAGCACTGTGCCTGGCCCCAGAGACACTCAACCAACTCTTATGTGCCTCAACCTTCTGCAAAAAGTCCAGTGCTACACACTCTCCAGGAATCCAAAGTAGAACTGGGGGGTCTTCCCTCTCCCTCCTGCTACCCCACCCAGTCCACAGACTCCTGGGGATCATGCTCTCCCCAAAACCCACCTGGACCAAACCTACCAGAGCTTCTATCAGCATCTACCAGAGCGTCCTGCCTCCTCTCTCCTACAGGGTACTTAGTTCCTATAAAACAGAACCTTCTTTCCCACCGTCTTGGGTTGTGTGCTTTAGGTTGGAGTCAGCCAATGATGGCCCAGATCCAGCCCAAGGACTATTTTTCCAAACAGTTTCATTGGAGTGTGGCCATACTCACTGGCTGACATATTATCTATGTCTGCTTCCACCCGGCAGGGGCCCATGTATTTACATGTGGCCCTAAGTTTCACAGAGTCTGCTGACCCCTGGGCTGGGATATACCTCATTCGCCTCCGAACTGGAATACGATGCAGCTCCCAACCACAGTCCTGTCTACAACCCGGCTGATTCCAGCAGATTCTACACACCTCGGCATCAGTCATTCCCCATCAGCCTTGTGGATCCCACCACTTTGCTGCTGTATTTTGTTCATCAACCTCAACAGCGCCCCCTGTATGAAACAGCGTTTCTCCAAAGTAGGCCTTTCTCACACCACCTGCACAATTTTGACACGCCCACAATCCTCCTACATACTATTTAGTTCATGTTTTAAGTACAAACTCATTTTTAAACTTAAATAAAACAGGCGCTTTTATAGCACCACCCAAGGTAGAAAATCATTAATACTTGCCCATACATAGAAAGCAACTCTACAAATAAACACAGTGAAAAGCAAATTGTAGTATTAATTTGTTAAGTGGGTACCACGCTACTCAGGTCTAAAGTCTGCTCTCTCTGTGTTAGAAAGAGGACTAGAAAACATCAAAGAAATGCAAAAGACATCTTAGCACCAAAATGCACCTGTTCTCGGAGACTCTATCAGGTGGTGGTGGGAGGAGTTACTTTTTCAACAGGTGGTTCAATTGCATTCAATGCCAAGTTCATATTCTCCCTAAAATCAGCTCATGCCACACTAACAATGAACATCACTGCATCCTCCACACACTTAATATGCAAAAGGGAGAGAAAGTTTTTGAATTATCCAGCGGAGAGAGATCTTAGAGCTGAGAAACCTTGAATTAAGCAGAACTGTCCTCAGTGAAGATTCCTTCTTGGAAGCCTTCTGGAATGACCCACAACAGGTTTAGAGGGTACGCTTCTCAACCTGTGGGTCGCGACCCCTTTGGCAGTCGAACGACCCTTCACAGGGGTCGCCTAAGACCATCCTGCATATCAGATATTTACGTGACGATTCATAACAGTAGCAACATTACAGTTATGAAGTAGCAAGGAAAATAGTTTTATGGTTGGGTCACCACATGAGGAACTGTATATAAAGGGCCAGAAGGTTGAGAACCACTGGTATAGGACAAAGACCCTTCCGGCCAGAAAGGAGGACAGCTCAAATCTCACAGAAGAGAAAAACCAAAGTTCAGTCTTGGAAAATCTCCCAATACAGCCAGTTTATTTATTCCTAAGAGGAGCGGTTTTTACAGAAAGATCATCCACCTAAAATTTTTCTTCATTTCCTAAAGGCTCGAGTGCCCTCATCCACCAAACACAGGTGTTGGGAATAGTTTCCCTCGGTTTCATTTATCGTGGTCATTTCCCTGGGGGCAGAAGGGCTGCCCGACCAAAGCACATCTCCTACCCACCCAGGTCCACAACGGAACCCCTTGTCCAGATGAAGTCTTATGTGGGTCCCCAGTAAGTAAACACAGCAGGTCCTCAATAACACCGTTTTGTTCAACGTCACTTCATTACAAGATTGACGAGAGGCCGTGGGATCTTAACTGCTTATATCCACTGGCCTACAGTAAAACTGGTTCCGTTAAACATCGTTTCGCTTCAAGTTGCACAACCTATCGCAGTGATGGCGAACCTATGACACGTGTGTCAGAGGTGACACGAGAACTCATTTTGTTGGTTGATTTTTCTTTGTTAAATGGCATTTAAATATATAAAATAAATATCAAAAATGTAAGTCTTTGTTTTACTATGGTTGCAAAGATCAAAAAATTTCTGTATGTGACACGGCACCAGAGTTAAGTTAGGGTTTTTCAAAATGCTGACACGCCGAGCTCAAAAGGTTTGCCATCACTGAGCTATCGGCAACATTAAGTGAGGACTTACTGTACAGGCAAACACTGGTCACTTTAGAGGTGTCTGACAGCTGCCTTGCCCAGCCACTCCCTCACCCCCACTGACCCGCCCAGGGCAACCCCAGGGATCCCTAAGGATCCACGGCAGTTGGACATCCCTTAACCCTTCAAGTTCTCTCTAAGGAAATGGCTTCCCCTCTGCCCGCGTGGAATAAGCGCGCCATTCACCCACCAGGGGGCAACGTACCAGAGCCTTGGTTGGAGCCTAAGAGAATGGAGGAGGGCGTCTCCCTGGAGCCAGAAAGGTCGAGGGTCTAGAAATACAAAGAGAGAGAGATGGACTCACGGCACCGGGGCCCATGGAGCCCCCAGGGGAGTCCAGGGATCCTTGGGGGTGCTCATTTCTGCCCGAGGCACCTCTGTGCCCTCTGCCTGGTGACGGAGGCAGGTCAGCGGGGGTGGCCCCCTACCTGTGCGCTGTCCCCAGGCCCGACAGGCTGGACCACAGCCCCGGGGCGGCCCTGACTCAACCCTCAGCCTCAGCTCCCAGAACACTCGCTGCCTCCGCACCTCCGCTCACTGGCCTGCCAGCCCTCCAGAGCTCTGCCATCTCCAAAGAGGAAGTCTATTCCTCCAAAACTGTGTCCATTCCCTTGTATTTCACATTAACCTCTCACGAGGAAATATCACTGGAATCAAAGTGTTCTGGCTGGTGGGATAATGACTTATTTCTCTCCTCACACACACTGAAATAAAGTCATTATGACCAAAATGTAGAAAATGACCCACATGCCACCTACAATGCTGTTGACAGACAATCCGTCGGACACTCCCCACGCGGGGCAGGGAGAGATGCGGCCTCCACTCCCCCACCGCAGCCTCGAGTCACATGCGACTATGGGCATCAGAGTAACTCACACCCCCGTGTGGCTCGTGGCTGCAGACTGGGCAGCGCAGACTCAGAGCAGCCCCTCACCACCGAAGGTTCTCCTAGACAACGCTGTTCTAAACCTCGAGTCGCCGGGAGCAGCTGTCGAGTCACACGAGTGTCACCCTGGACTCCATACTCCTCTGCCCCTGCCCGGGTGCCCGCCGGTGAGAAGGCGACCTGCTAACACCTGCTAAGACCCGTCCCCACCCGCAGCCTGACTGCCCCACCGTGAAGACGGACCATCTACTGCATCGGGCGAGTTTCAGGGAGGCAGGCCTGGGGACAGGAACAGACTCTCCTGGCCCCGTGGATCGGCATCGCCCCATGGCGTGCGGGTGCTCACCGAGCCGCTGTCCTTGCTCTTCTCAGCAGATGTCTCCTTCTCTTTCGAGGCGCTGGCTGTGTCTGAAGGGGCGGCCTGTGTGCTGGAGGAGGACCCCTGGGAGGACTTGTTTAGTGTTTCTGTGTTCGACTCGGAATCCGCTTCCTGCTGAGGGGCGGTAGCTGGGGGTGAAGGGGAGAGAAGCCACGTGTAAGCCGAGTGCCGTGGCCTCCGGACCTTCAGGGATCACGGCTTGGCACAGGACCCACCCCCCAAGGGGGCCAGACCTCCTGTTTTCCAGAAGCTGGAATCCAGACCTGTGTGAAAATATGGTCACCCTTATAGGAATTTGTGTTTTCCTAAATGATTCTGGAGACGAAAGCATGTTCACAGAATAACTGAAGGCCCAAGTGAGCAGCCAGCTACTGCTCACCTAGAATGACAAGCTTCCTAAGTTCTAGTTCCAGAACGAGTTTAGCCCCATGCAACTGCTTCCTTCAGAGAAGGCGGGGGAAATCCACGTGAAAAGCAACATGATGGTCAGAGGCACGGAGCCTCGGGGGACAGAAGAAACTTGGACAACTGGAAAACTAGGGATGTGAGAGAATTTCGGGAGGAGGGACATTATGATGCTGCAAAGAAAGGAGAGCAGAAGGGGACTCTGGCCGTCGCGTAACAACGCAAGGGGTCATCAGACACATTCCAGAACCTGGGAGGTTCAAAGTCACTATAAGAAGAAATCTCCCTGAAGAAGGTTAAAGGACACAGCAATGTATGGTTTAAACTCGTCTTTTTAGAAAAAACAACAATTTTTAACGGGAGATTATTGAAGGTGCTTCTCAAACCTGGCCTCTTATGCCGTCATCTTTGAAAATCCTGCCAATCTACAGACACACTACCTTGTCATATTATTGATGACTTTTACATTTAAATACTTAAAATGGACACTTCTAATTCTAAGCACATATAGCTAATATTATTTGCCATAAATAAAAGCTAGCTGTAAACACTGTTTTTAAAATAGTATTAATCCATTCTAACGGGACAGTGTCTCCTGCCGGAGGCTCCTGGCTGAGACCTGCGTGCCATGTGCTAGAAAGAGATTGCAAGACTGGATCAGTTCCACAGCAAGACGTTTCCTTCACCAGAACGGGAATCCTTACGACTTAAAGCCCTGAGTCCCGGGTCCCCTAAACGGCAGGCTTTCTCCACTTCGGTCTCATGACAGATAATGATCAGATCATGCTCCATGTGGGCAACCACCCTGTGCCCCCACCCCGGCCTCTACCTTCTAGATGCCAGTAGCCACCCCTTCGCTGTAACCACCGCAGATGTCTGCAGTCACCGCCAATGCCATGGGGGACAGGACACAGACATGGCAAATAACACAAAGAATCCAGAGGTTCCAAAACCTGCACCTGTAGTCTCTGCTGTGTGTGCACGCTGCTGTGTGTGCACGCTGCTGTGTGCACGTTGCTGTGTGTGCACGCTGCTGTGTGTGTGTGTGTGTGTGTGTGTGTGTGTGTGTGTGAGAGAGAGACAGTGTGTTGAGTGACGGACAGACGAGGGGCTGGGCAAGGCCCCCCTCCGAGTCAGCCTCCTGTGGCTTGTGGTCCCTGGGGAGCTGGGCTGGAGACGCCCCGCGTGGCCGCACCTGACTGGGTGCAGGACTTCATGTGCTCGGGCCAGTGGGCCTGCTGGCAGGGGTAGTCGCAGTAGCTGGTGTTCCAGCAGCAGTAGAAAATGGCCTCTTTCTTGCAGCTGGCGCACCACTGCTTCTTCTTGGTCTCGTCCACCGCCTGCTGCTTCTCCTGCTCCAGCTGCTTCTTCACCTCGGCGATGAGCCGGTCCCGCTCCTGCTCCAGGCTCTGCCGCATCTCCGCCATGGTCAGCTCTGGCAGAGGAGGGGAGAGGACACTGGCTCCATCGCCTGTCCCTGGGCCCGGGCAGGGGTTGTTCAGACCAGATCTGAGGCAAACCCCGGCTCGGAGATAGCCCGGCTGTGCGACACCCCTCCCTCCCTGAGCCCCAACGTCTTCATCTGTAAAATGGGCACGTGTAACCAAGATTACTTTATCCAGCAAAGCTATCATTCAGAATTGAAGGTGAGATAAAGAGCTTCACAGATAAGGAAAAGCTAAAGGGGTTCATCACCACCAAACCAGTATTATATGAAATGCTGAAAGGTATCCTTTAAGAAGAGGAAGAAGAAGAAAAAGGTAAAGATACAAATTATGAACAACAAATACACATCTATCAACAAGTGAATTCGAAAAATCAGTGAATAAATAATCTGATGAACAGAATAAACTGGTGATTATAATAGAATCAGGGGCATAGAAAGGGAGTGGACTGACAATTCTTGGGGGGGAAATGGGTGTGGGGGATGCGGGAAAAGACTGGACAAAAATTGTGCACCTATGGATGAGGACAGTGGGGGGGCGGTGAGGGCAGAGGGTGGGAGGGGAACCGGGTGGAGGGGAGCTATGGGGGGGAAAAAGAGGAACAACTGTAATAATCTGAACAATAAAGATTTAATTAAAAAAATAAAATAAAATGGGCGCGTGTCACAATGGCATGGCATTTGCCTCATCATATATGACAGTTAACAGGACATTATCTCAATAATGATAGAGCAATCAAGGCAGCACCACAGTAGTTCTGTGGGAAGCCTTCAAATAAACCCGCAAAACAACTGCCACTAAACTCACTCTGAACTTTACCATTAGCACCAGCCTTTTTTTCTACCGAGTACTTACACAGCACCTACTATATGCAGAGAGTGTTCTAAGCACTTTTGAAATCTTAACTCATTTAATCCAGATACTGATCCTGTGAGGCAAGTACGACTATAATACCCTTTTCACAGATGAGAAAACTGAGGCACACAGCTAATAAGGGCAGAGCTGGGACTAGAACTCAGACATGCTGTCTTTCTGGTGTGGTTAGCGGCAATGGAGACAGGGCACTGTGGTTGATCATTATGCTAACAGGTCAATGATCGAACTGCTCAATCTACTGAGATTTTTCTACTTTTACTTTAGACAATAAGTCCATTTGCAATTCACGTGGGAGAGACCTGTACATTAAAATAAATGGTTCCTCAATTCCTAAAAATCCTCTTCCTGAAGTTAAAGAAGGACCCCCTCCTAAACAGAGCAGTAAGGAAAATTAATCCCTTGTAAAGGAGCCGTTTCAGGCTCTATCCCCGGCCCTCGTTCCGGCATGTGTGGGAGGCAACCAATTGATGTGACTTTCTCACAAACACGTTCTCTCTCTCTGCCTCTCTATCTCCCTCCTTTCCACTCTCTAAAAAACAATGGAAAAATATCCTCAGGTGAAGATGACCAAACAAAAAAAAGAGAGAGGTTATTTGACCTGACTAGAAAAACAAGAAGCAACAACTTCCTGATGGTAACACGCTAAAGAGTGGAGGGCTGCTCCTCTGGTTGGCCTCATAAGGATTTCCGTTTGCAGGGGGTGATTTCCGCTTCTATCCCTGGGGAGCTGGTGGGCACAGCTGGGCATGCCTGCCCAACAAAGACAGCCTACGTTTGTTTCCAGCATCCTGACCCTGGGACTGATATTACATGAGGGTCTGGAAGAAACAGGCTCTACCTCTGGGGGAAAAAATAATTACCAATATTTACACAGAAGGGTAGGTGGAACAGCAGCCCATCTAATCCAGGGACCAACAGGGCAGCTTTGTCTCCAGCGTGGGCTGCACGGGCAACATTCAAAACTTAGTCAGAATACTCCACAGTCAGCGGTTCCGGGGGCAAGTCTGGATGTGAATCAGGGCGGCACGATTTTGAACATCTGCCTTAGCATGTCTGTGCCTCAGTTTCACCTGAAAACTGGGACCGGAGAGCCCTCTGTCGCAAGGGTTCCCATAAGAATTAAACTGGCTAACTTATGAAAAAGTGCTTCAGAAGGTTTCTGGTTCTAGGTTAAGAGTTTAATAAGTCGGAGCTGTGGGTGCTGCTGTTACCGTTATTTTGTTGATGCTGGTGTTTTCCAGAGAGGAAAGGAGCGGCTTTAATACCTGCTTTCATGCCTGGGTCCTCCCGGTGGGCCCCCCAGGAGCGGGACAACCCCTGGTGCACATCTGACTCAATTCACATCGGGCCTGACTCCAGAGGTTCAGGGACGTTCCCCGTCCCCGACCCTGCTCGGGGCAGACCCCTCCCCGGGCCTCACCCAAGTTGTGTTTCATCTCGGAGAGCTCCTGCTGGTGCAGCCACTGAAGCTTCTCGATCTCAATCCTCAGCCTGCGAATCTGTAATGACAGAGAGAGAGAGACGTAAAGGGCGGGTCTGGGAGCCGCTCACCCGCGGAGCCCAGGAGCCCGACCTCTCCCTGGCTGTCAGGTCAACGTCAGGTGGTGAAGGAGAGCAGGCAGCCTGGACCTCAGCTGCTCTCCACACGGCTACCGTCCAGAGAGAGGCCAGTGTGTTAACCCAAACGCACAAGACATGGATTCAGAAAACTAAATGTCCAGGTGACTCGCTGCTCTCTCCTGGGGCCTCTCCTACGCCTGCTAGCCACACTGCGCTCTGCCGAGGCCTCTCGAGGCACCTTCCTGAAGACTCTCCCTTCGCCTGAGCGCCAGGCTGGGCCCGCCACGCCCTCCTCAGGCAATGACTTTGCCTGGGATTCCCACTTTCTACGTGTCCCTCTCAGCGACCTCAAGAAACCCTGCCCCTTCTCCTCTCCCCTGGTGCCCTTTCTGCATCTGGCTCGCAGGGAATTCGCCTGAGAGAGAAGTTCGTGGAGGCCGATTTTTACAAGTGGTCACTTCGTAAGTGGGCATTTTAGCGTTTCACGACTGGTTTCCCCAGGCCCTCACAGAAACTGTGCAGGCTCGGACCACCCATTCTTAGACAACTAGGATCTCTTGTAGAAAAAGACCAAGGAGCCAATTTTGCATGGAGCACAAGGTTCACCAGTGCATTAACTCAGGCGCTGGTTTGGGCGGTTTTATGAAAAATGAACTGATCACACACAGCATCAGCCTTCTGGCTCAATGAGAAACACCCTCCCCAACAACTCTAATCAGCTGAGCAAGCCTGGCGACCGGGCCAGGCCCTGGAGGGATTTCCCCGAGAATCTTCTTCATGGCGCCATCCTACAGCGGCCCACAAAACACTCGCAGCAAACAGGGAGTTAACCGTCATCTCTGACCTCAGCTATTGTGCTTCCAGTAGTGTTTTTGGAAAGGTCATTATATATTTCTGTCATCGTTCCTTTGATTGCATCCATCATCTGAAAGATAAAAAGAGAAACAATTCAGGCAATCACTTCCCGAGGCTTTTCTAGATGACACTCCTCTAAACTCCACCTGCGTGAAGCAGCGGGTCTCACCTGGGGGCTCACGACTGGTGAGGGAGCAGTGGGGGGGAGGGGGGACACTGGCATCCAGCGGGTAGAATCCAGAGGCGCCCTGAACATTTACAGTGCACAGCACAGCCCCCACAACAGCATTATCCAGTCCAAGGGTCACTAGTGCTGAGGTAAGAAACCCTGATATAAACCAGGGTCAGGACCACCCACACGTTCCCTGTCCCATCTGCCAGGACAAGTTCACAGCCATAAAGCTAGTTTCTATGGCCACAGGCTACGCTCGAGCGGTCGACAGCCCCCAGGAGCGTTTGGAGTAGCCAGCACAGGGGTCCAAGGGGGGGATATTTTGTTTTGTTGCTGTTGTTGTTCAATTCTTTCCCTTTAAAAAACAAAACCGTTTTATTGAGATACTAGAGGCCCGATGCACGAAAATTCGTGCAAGAGTAGGCCCTTCTTTCCCAGGCTGCTGACACCGTTTCCCTCCAACCACCGGCAGGTACCCGGGACCTGGGCTGGCTTTCCTCGGGCGGCCCACAGGCACCTGGGACCCGGGCTGCTTCCTTCCAGCTGCCTGCAGGCACCCATACCCAGACTGGCTTCCCTCCGGCCCTGGCTTCGTCAGGAAGGTCATTTGGCTATTTGGTCTAATTAGCATATTAGCTCTTTATTATATAGGATCATTGCTAAACCCTATAATTCACCCATTTACAGTGTACAATTCAGTGGCTGTTAGCATATTGAGTTCTACATCCATCACCACAATCAATTTTAGAACCTTTTCGTTACCCTAAAAAGAAACTCCACTCCCTC